CGCGCGACGGGGCAAAGTCCAAAAGACAAGGAATTCCCGGAAGGCCACTCAGGCCTAGCGGGGCGTCGGACTCCAGTCAGTTCCGCGCCTATCCCGAATGCCTACGGAGCGCGCGGCTCGATCGTGGCATCTTGCGACGGCCATCATACAAGAGACCAGGCGTACCTGCCACATAGAAGACCCGCGACAACATCTAACAAATACAATAGAAAGAATAGGACGGGCGCGACAGCAAAACGCAGACAACACGGAGGGACTACCCAAACCACCCCAGGGGGGGGGTGGGGGGGCGGGGGGGGGGGGGGGGGGGGGGGGGGCAACAAGCGGGGGGGGGGGGGGGGGGGGGGGGGGGGGGGGACGGCAAGAATAAACAGGGTGGTCAAACGGCGTCAGTACCCCGCGCCATCGATCCCAGCACCCTCCACTGACAGAGCGGGTAGAACTAAACGCAGACCTGCAACCCTCGACGGTGGTTAACGCCTCGAGGCACGATAGCCAACGCGCAGTAAAAGCGCCAAGGCCAACCGACTGGACAGAATCAACCCCCGCGCAATGGAGCAGCCGCTCCCCCGGAGAGGAAGAACCGGCGTACGGTAACAACCGCTACCCCCCCCTTGCCGGGCATAAAGATTGAGGCTCAACAGCACACGGACCTGCGTTGAACCGAGACCAACACGCCGCAAACTCAACAAAGGCATGGTCAACCATGACGTCATTGTTCGCTGAGTGCCCCCACCTCGCGTGTAGCTGCACAACGCGCGCCACAAACGCGAATCCGGCGGTAAAACGCGGCTACCAACTCGCCGGGGGAAAAGCAACCCCAGGGCCACGACCCAAAACCCGCCGCGGTATAAACAAGCCCACCGACACTGAAACGAGGAATCGCCTCACCAGGTGAAACCTGCGGCGCACAACCCCACGCAACGACAGACCTCGACGCACCCGCACTCCCAACAGGGACGCCAAAAGCGGCCCGTCACACCCCCGCTCAAACGGAGCGCATACGCAGCGACACCACCGCACATTGTTTTGCACATTGGTCAACAGGCATCACTTGCCCGAACACTAGAGACCCTTTCGATCGATATCTATTTCCCATCGGAAACCCGCCTATAAGACCCTACCTCTGTTCTCACTCTGCGATCACGTTCAAGTGACAGTAGCGGTACTTTCTCATTGCGTCTACCGGAGACGATGCAGCTTCGAGTACCAGTCAACCCGGCGTTCGTATGACCTGATTCCCCGGTCTGGAGCTGCTCTGGTTGTTTGAATCCCAATCAGTAGCCGGATGTGTGCGGTCTGATTGGCTGGCTCATTCAAAGCATTGTAGTTGAGCTGGACTAGTAGATGTCTGTCATCGCTGGTTACGTTCCTACAAACTGTAGCGATGATTCGGTAAGAGACAACTTCTATCGCCAAGTGAACGAGCTCCTTTGCGACAGAAGCACAGACACTGTTATGTTGTCCGAGGATTTGAACACTCGAAGTTGTCCACTGATGAGCGGCCAAAATGTTGTAGGCTCCCGTAATGATAACGGTGAACGGCTACTTCATTTGTGTGAAGATGCTCAGTTACTTTTTGCGAGCACTAATTTCCGACACAGCACCCGTCAGAAGGTGAGATGGCGCCCACCAGCCTTGAACCAGTCATGGGCGCAAATCGATCACATTGCTATCGGTTATCGCTGGAGATGCTGCATCCAAAACTGGCGCCCGATTTGGAGCACGTGTGAACACTGAGCATGCAATTGTATGCAGTGATCTGCGGGTGTGTTTTGGCGGACGACCGCGACGACGATGTGGGCGCATACACAACAGCCAACTGGCGAAGCCAGACGTTCTGCATGCGTATCGAAGTACGCTAGCATCCGGGCTTAGTGTTCACTGAATATAGTTGGAGGTTACTGGTCGCAAGTTCACGAGACCTTGCCAGCAAACAAATCCGCGTGTCATAAGTCTAATAAAAAAACGGACATTGGGTCGCTTCGCGGTCTGGAACTTAGCAATGCTCGCCGGCACATTCCGGTTGGAACCGTAGACAATGAGACTCGCAAACACCACAGCCTGATAGGAGAACGCGAATCTTGGTGGTCTTATTGTGCGTCAGATGAAAGGGGCCGCTGCCTTTGGTAATCATCGGAGCCTATTCCGTCTGATACGAGAAATGGGCAGTAGGAGACCTGGTGTTAGTGAAACTACACGTGACGAGAGTGGACAGCCTATCCACATCTTGTCAAAGCGCTTGGAGTGTTGGGGAGCGCATTTTGAAAAACAATTTAATTGGCCGTAATTGTTAGATTCATCAATGGCCAGTAATCGCCCTGCTCCCTGTGCTGTCCCCTTGGATTCGCCTTCTCGCTCAGAAGTCGAAAGTGAAATCGAACTGTCGAAGTTGAATAAAGCCGCGAGACCAGGTGATCTTCCTCCACCCCCATCCAAATTAGGGGGCCTTGCTCTTGTTGATGATTTATAGGAGTTACTAGTGAAACTGCGGGGGCAGGAAACTGTCCCAACCGACTGCAGCCACTCCGTTATCGTCTCGATCTTCAAAGGAGGCTCACGTTCGGAATGCCGCAACAATAGAGGAATCAGCATGATCCCTCATCGCCTCCAATCTGCTTCTTTGTAACCCTTCACAGACTGACAGCCACTTGTGAAGGCCAGATTTGTGAAAAATAAGGCACCTTTCGCCGAAAACGAGGATGCATTGACATCTACACTTTGCGTCAGTTGTTGGAGCAGCGACAAATATATTGACGGCTCACCGTTGTCGTGTTCTACGACTCGGTGGATGTGTGCTCTTTGGGACTTTCTGCCTTGGAAACGTGTAAATATTATGCGAACACTTTAAGCGCGTAGCTCGGAGAGAGTGGGGGTTAACGGCAAGCTGTCGTCGCCCTTCAAGATCACTGGTGTAAAACTAGGATGCCCGCTGTCATCTTTCCTCATGAACGTCGCTACTAACGAAGTCATGGAGATCGTGTTCACAGGACACGATTTAGGTGTGGAGCTGCTCCCAGGCGAACGACCTCTTGACTTGGAGTATGCTGACGATATTGTCTTCATCTGTGACAGCTCACGAAGGTTTCAAGCGGCTCTGGACAGATTAGCTCTGGCTGCCAACCCTTTCGTGCTATGCTTTGCATCTTCAAAATGCAAAGCTTCCATCCAAGATTGACAGGGATCGTCTCCTGCACTGACCTTCGGTAGCGACCAGTTAGTCTTTCAGAAGTTCAATCACCCAGGCAGTTGTATCAGCGCTGCTGGAATCGAAGGCGATGTCACAAACCGTATAGCAAAAACCTGAAGCACTTTTGCTAAGCTTTGCCACATATGGCGCTGGTGCCACATCACTCTCTGCTTAAAGAGTGGTGTACAATGCAGCCATAAGTTTGACCTTGAGGTGCGGTTGTGAAACCTTGCCCATCAGATCAGCAGACATAAAGAGACTAGTTACGTCCGGGCACCGGTGCCTTTGCAGTTTCTATTATGTCTGGTGGAAACACCGTGTGAGCAAACAGAGTCTTGTTTATGGTGTGGAAAAAAGAAGCGAACCGTTCAACATCGTTATTTCATGCACCAGGCTCCGAGGGCCGGGCCGTGTTGCGCATACCAGGCCACCGACTCCCGCGAGGTGCGTTGTTTGCGTGCCGGGGGTGCGCGTGGAAGAGGAGTGGCCAAGTGATGACTTGGTAAAGAGGAATGAGAGCGCTTACTTCAAGATTTGCCTCGGTTGGAGCCCCTCGGCTCCCTGGTTGGGGACCGAAGGATGATGAACAAGTGTGGCTGGATACAATGGTTAGCATGGCTAGCAGCCGACCTCAATGGCGTTTGTGTTGCGAGTTTCTTTGTCCCTCCCCCTTCCGCTTAGCCGTCCCATTTAACCAGGACCTTATCTATTAGGCATAATATAACTTACGGCGGCACAAGATAAGGCTGATAGTGCTCCGGAACGTTGTCCATCGGTCACTGGTGATTTAGCCAGCGTGCCTTTGTTGCCGTTTTTCTTGTATTTTGTATTGTGGCACAGTAACTGTTCTCCATGTGTAGTTAACGTGTATAATGAAGATGATGGAGCTGAGAACAATGCCCCCTCCAGTCTAACTAGTGGTTGCCGCAAAATGGTCTCCGGATGCATGCAACCAATAGCGAGAGAACAAGCCGGGTGCAGTTAATTCAACAACCCCATTAGAGTCATTGAAGGTAGTTTCGGACACATAACACACGTCAATAGCCAGCATGTCGAACATGCGTGCGAGTGTTGTCTGTTGACCTATCTGTCTTACAGTGCGAACATTGAACACTGCTATCGAAACGGGAAAGTGCGGCCTTATAGGGAGCTGTTGACGATTGGTGTACGGTGGGTAGTGCGCGAAGGTAGCTGCAGATGGTATGACTACGGTGGCATTGCGGTTGCTGTCAACTCAACTGGGAATTATAGTAGGAAGTTTAGTGACAAGGTCGGGAGGAAAGTAAGAGGTGGAAAAGAAGGAAGGCGCCAGCAGTAGTATGTATTTGCTTATCCGCCTTGTTATATGCAGCAGATAAACCGACCTTTGATAAACTGCGCGACGGCCAATGCAAGATGTGATTGAAGTTTGAAGAAATAGTCATGGTTGTACGTGGGTTGAGATACTGCCAGGGTGTCCGGACTTAGACAGCAGGAGGATAAGTGACCTCAACAAAAGCCTTTGAATAAAAGCCAATCCACAACACTACGGAGCGGCAATGGACACTATCCCATTTCTAAAACACAAACTGGGGAAGCAAGTGACTGTTTGATCTCTAACCAGTGACCAACTGGTAGGAGTAGATCTCTAGGGTGACGAGGGTCCCAGCCAGTACAACTCAATGGTCCAAGGAAGCAGGCAAACCGTCGCAACACGTTAAGGTCCAAGCTCGTTGCGACAGCACGGGGTCATTACATGACAAGAGAATAAAGGAAATCCACGAAACTGACTGGTCAGATCTTCAGGGATGAAACCAGCCTTCGCCTTAGGAGAGTCCCGTTCCGTGTGCCGGTAAACAAGCCAAGGCCCCGGCACTTTGACGTTCAATCTTTACTTCTGCAGTAAAAAAAGGAGTAAGAGGAACATCTTATAAATTCAAGAAACCATTCGTGACATCCTACTGGTACTAAATGAATTCACCAACCTCAGTGCAATCCAGGAAACAGAATGGACCAATTCATACCTAGGCCTCTTTTAAAGGATTCCATAGTACTACATTCCACTAGTGCATAAGGAAGCGACTTCCAACTACGTACTACGCGGAAAGTGAAATTTCGCCCAGACATCCAGTCTCGATCTATGCGTCATGAGCTTCAGATCGTGTACCCTCAGGTGGTCCGACGTAGATAGTTCAAAGAGA